TTGTCTTGAGTGATCACAGGTTGATAAGAGTACAATATGGATTTTCCATATTGTCCTGAGCAGATGAAAGAGTCTAGCTAAAGACATTAAAGGAGGACAGTTTTCTGGGAGGCAACCTAGATATTTAAACTTTTACTTTTATGCATTTTATTACTCTTTTATTTTCTTTTATTCTAGTCTTTAATTACTTACACTTTGTCTGCCTTATGTGCTTCCATCACTACGTCAAAAACAGATGTTGACAACTGTTTCTTTTAGTAGTCTCTCGGTGCTGATTTCAGTAGTCTTCCGAGCAGCTGTTTGATATATTTACAGACTATTGTTTAAAAACAATTGTCTAAAATGGTTGACAACACCTGTTTTGTAATGTTTTAGAGTACCACTTTTTAGTGTTGTCCCCGTATGAGTAAGACATCTGTTTTTTAGAGTTAAAGAGAATTGTGATTTTTTGTTGTCTATCTATAATGAATACTACTGTTGTTTTTAACTTCAGACCCCTAATTCTTGGTGTTGTCGTTCAACAATATAGACAACTACTTTAAAAAGTAATTGAAAGATATATCAGACTGCTGTTCGGAAGATTACTAAACAAAAATAGGATCAGACAACTGTTATTTTTTGTTGTATTTCTAGAATATGGATTACTAATTTTGCTGTATTTTAAACAACCGTTTCTTTCAGTTGTATAGTGCTCAATAACACTATGCTCTTTTGTAGTTGTTCTTGAAATATTCAAACTATCATTTTACACACTAGTCAGATTATAAATTAGACTACTGCGTCGAAGACAACTAAGTATGTTTGCATAAAACAATTGCTATTATGTGTTGTATTTTTAAAATGTAAACAACCTTATTTGTTGTATTTCGTACAACTGTTTGTTTAAATTGTCTAACATTTATTAACAATACAGGTTTGTGTAGTCATCCTTTAATAATTTAGAAAACTGTTTAAATACATTGTAAAGCTTTTTGAAAGACTACTGTATTTTAATTTACAATTATATTTAATAATTAAAATTTATTTCAATTCTAAAATATATTGAATAATATCTAAATACATACAATCCAAAATGTACAATATATTGAATAATATCTAAATACATACAATCCAAAATCTTAATAGCATCCAATAATTTAATATTTACATAATTAAAATTACATTCTAGTTGTCCTCCTAATTTAATTATTTGGCCTCTCAATAACATCCAACATTGAACCATGGGAATACAAACCTTCAATTCTTGACGCCGTTGTGACCATGATAATCTGCAAGCGAAACATATACAGGCCTGTAGTGAGTTGAATCACCAAAAGATTAACCTAATAGAGGAAAGAAACAAAAAAACTCACATGGAACCCCAGCTGATGGGCCAATTGTTTTGAAAAGAGACATTGCAGACGTTGAAAGGCAATGAAATTGACTTGCAAAAGCAATTAGAGTACATTCTAGACATTTGATTACTACCTCTTTTTATGTAACGCAATTAAAAGTCTCATTTTGATGAAATTGACTTGCAGGAGCAATTAGAGTAAATGTGTGTAATCAAATGTTCCTGGTCCATGCTAAGCGATACATGTATTATATATATGTGAATCAAATGTATAAGGAGAGACTCACATTTGAGTTGCTATCAACTTTGATATCTGTGGTAATCTACTTGCTCTTAAGCTTAATATTAAGATAAGCCACAAATCAATCTCCTTTCTTTGACCATAATGAGGTTATGGCCTGTGAAATTTACAATAGAAGATATTACCTATGAGTATGCTAAAACACACACATGACCTTAAAATCTCAAAATGCACACATTTACTTGTAATATGTATGCTGCATTAAGAAAAGCCTAATGAGAAAAGCTCTTGTTTGCCTAAAAACAACCACGATAACAATTATGTTGATTTCATCATTATGTGAAAACAAAGCCAAACTTAACCTAAAACCCACACTCCTTATTATTCACATTCGTGCAAAAGTCGAGCATGTACGTTAGCCACAACAACCTCAGCTTCACCATTGTCCGATCCTCAGCTACACTATTGTAATTGCCCTAGTCATAATTCTAGATCAACCTCCAAAAATAAGAAGAATGAATGCTCTAACATGGTCAATTCTAGACTTCAACGCTCACTGTGAACAGTGCGCCGAATTCAGAAATATTGCTCAAATCGAAAGCTTCTTCGTATGGAATTGCAATCCAACTTTAGGCCTTGAACAAACAACCCAGGCCGCTCATAAACCCCCAGAAATTGGCCTTCGATTGATCATAAATCAAAGTGAAAACCGATGTCCATGGTCACCGAATGAACAAGGACCACGAACCTTCAATTCGCCAAAGTCCAGCTGCAAAATAGGAAAATTGAGTTTAAAGTCAACAGCATTTGCTTGAGACAAGCCCAAATCTCAAAATATCACAAGAAAATAGCAACGAAATAAGAAATAGAAGACCAAGGGGTGAATCGGCAAAATGTGTTCAACAACCGTTGCGTTCTTCTGCTCGAGTCCATCGCCGGAACAGTGGAGGTCATTCCCTGTCACCGCCGGTCGCTGCCTCTGTCACCGTATATGCCAAATTGCCGAAATTTCGCCGCTGTGGGTCTGCATCGCTGAGGGTCGCCGGGGATTTCTGTCGCTGCTGCTCTCGTCGCCGATTGGGGAGTATTGGTGAAGAAGGTCGTCGTAGGGATAGGAGAAGAGAGGGGCGGCGGAATTCTTTGATAGGGGAGAAAGGAAAAAGAAGAGGCTAAAAATCTTTTATATACCCTGGGGTTTTGTACTTCGAAATTTAAAATAATGTGTCTGAGTGAAACACATTTTTCGTGCTAACTTGCTCCGAATTAAGATTCGTTTGCATCGTTGGATTCGATTGGTCGGTCCCTACCCAACGATTTAATTTTTATAATCAATCAATAAATATTTATAAGTTCCACCTAGTCCGCCTTAATTCTTTCGATTAATTAGCACAAATCAATCTATTAAGGTTGTCTTTAATTCAGCAAAATCAAGATCCAGCAACCCTCGTGAGTGCAAGTTTCTAAAAGTGAAAAGGGAAATTGGGCGTGTTTGGTGTGGTTTGATGGTGATATAAGATATGAGTTTTACAATCTAGGAGAAATAATGTTACACCCTAATCCGTTTAGATCTCAATAAATCATTCCAAAATTCATATCATAAATAAATTCTTTATTTATTCTTAATTTGGATCTTTATTTATTCTTAATTTGGGTCTGTATCTAGATTGTGATATTAGATACCAAAACATATTTCATTTCACCCCAAAGGCCAAAAATAATTTATTTTAATTAAAACAAATTTAATTAATTGAATAATAATTCAATAATAATTTTAAGGTATGTTCTGGGGCGTTACAAATAATACGAGTTTTGAAATCTGAAACAAAGTTGTTTGGAGAGATATAAAATAGGAGGACGGAACACATCCTCATATTTAGTGTTTCTGATATTTTGTCGTCTCTTATTACATAATCACAACATATCTGATGAGATCTGATTTGATTAAATATAATCTGATTTAGTATGATTGTAGTTATATGTAGTTTTATTTTGGATTGAAAAATTGTACCTTTTGAATTGAATATGATTGTAGTCATGCATTTGAAGATTATATCTGGCAAATATGATTGTAGATCTCATCTTATTGGATTTAAATTTGATTTGATCTGATTAGATCTATTTTGGTCTGATTCGATCTAATTAGTTATATAGGTCGTGTCTTGTTTGCCTGATTTAATCTATAAATGCATCAGATCAAATCAAATTAGATTGAATTAGACCAAAAGAGATCAAATCAAATTAAATTCAAATCCAATAAGATCAGATATAATCTTCAAAAAAATATCGAATCAAACCAAATTCAAATCTAGTAAGATCAGATCAAATATTTAAAAAAATCAATTTTAATTGTATAGGTCATGTCATATTTGCCTGATCTAATCCTTAAATGCATCATATAAGATCTAATTAGATTGAATCAGACCAAAATAGATCTGATCAGATCAAATTCAAATATATTAAGATCAGATCAAATCTTCAAAATAAAATAATTTAATCATATAGGTTGTGTCTTGTTTGCTTGATTTAATCTATAAATGCATAAGATCAGATCAAATTAGATTGAATTAGACCAAAACAGATCAAATCAAATTAAATTAGAATCCAATAAGATGAGATAGAGTTGGTATATGGTACATCTGGATGTACCTAGAAATAGGTACATCTCGGTAGTACTCATTCTGAAATAAGGTAGTACTCATTCTCGTATAAATATAAACATTCATTTCGAAATACGTAGTACTCATTCTGGCAAAGGTAGTACTCATTTTAAAATAAATAAGTACTCATTTTTACACATTTGTCTAATATAATTATAATAAATAGCGTAATGTTTATGCTTTGAAAGCAAATCATCCTAAGTACACTGTTTCTTTCATCATCTCTTGATTGGTTTTAACAGAGATACAACAAGAATGTCAAGATTTGTGTTTTCCTATATAGGCTGGTTGATTTAATAATACATCATGAATATGTTGTTTATCATAAGAGATCAATTTATTCGAAATGCAATGCGCAAATGTTGATCCTTTGTCTGCCTGTTTTTTTCCTACTTGCTCCTTTGTCCCTTATACCGTTTCACTATGCGTTCCGAAATAAGTTGAACAGAATGATGCTTTAGTCTTATATTTAGCATTTGTATAGTTTACATCTATCCTAACTTTTTACTTGTAACTCAAAACTTTAATATCAATCAAATAATAAACACATCTTATTTCATGGTAATTCTTTTCATTTTCCTTGTAGATCAAGACCGGGAAGTTTATAACCTATCAAATGCTAAACTCTTGATTAATATTCGGATTTACTCAAGAATCCAAATCGTTCTAATATTTCCCCTATGTGCATATAAATGAAACATGTGGTGTCGAATTTGGTGTCAAATGCCTTATGTGACTATAGATTTAACCTTCTATAAATTAAATGGTGTCAGAAATGGTAGAGCCGAGACAATTTGATGATGACCATTTTCCATTGCTACCTTATAGGCCAGGTTTATGTTACTGATGCCGAGCTCTTTAGCTACTAATTGCTGGAGAACAATTCTTTTTTGGTATGGATTATTTTGGAGAGGCTGCTAGCTACTAATTTACACTTTCCTTTCTCCTTAGAGTTAAGGATTTAAAAGTATGATCTTATAGAACAAATCCTCTTCAAGTAAGGTGTCTACTGATTTACATTTTGATTCCAATATTCTTCAATAAGGCTGCTTTATTACCTATTTAGTAAATGTTGCAGGTTGATGATCAATCTACAATTGCAACTCCAAGTGAAGTTGGCTAATGCTTATTTGATAGTTGCTGTTTCGCTGCGACATCTATTGCTCTTAGAACGTGATAAGAGACTAGAGCCAGAAAATTTTAATTATAGTGCTCTTGAAACATTCTAATTTATTGGTGTTTCTTTTTTTTTGGTTACAAATGTTGCCTGTCTTTTGTACGAGCATATTGATGTTGTTCATTCCTTCTTTTTTCTCTTGTAGCCTAATTGGCGTTCGATTTAAAAAAAAGAAACCAAAGATGAAAGTATTAACTTTTTGGATGTTTCTTGTGCTGTGTTTTTTAAGGGTTTATTTACAATACAATATGTGTGCTAGTACTATTAAAATGGATATTTTAAAATAATATTAAAAAGAAGCTGACTTTACAGAGTGGATAAACATGTGTTGTGTAAACTATAACATTTTTAAGTACGTTTACACTCTGGATAAATATCTAATGTGTATACTCTACTGTTATTAAGCATCTTACGTAGCGGATATTTATCCGTTGTGTAAACAATTACACAGCAGATAATTATCCGCCATGTAAAATATTACGCAGCGGATAATTTTCCGTTGTGTAAACATGATACCAATTGCACCGGTCACATACACAGCGGTTGGTTTGCATTGTGAAATACCAAATTTATCCGCTGTGTATTACCAATTCTGTAGTAGTGTTACTCTGAACCTTTAAAATAGTTTTAGGCTTAAGAATTAGACTACTGTTTAAAACGAATATTCTTAACTTGGAAAA